GCTGGGAGGAATCAGTTAATTTGCTTTCTTACACAATGACCTGCAACCTCTGTGCCTTCCAGAGAAGTGATAGTCCCCAGGCTGCGGGTTGAGTGGTATTGCTGCAGAACGTGAGAAGAAATAGTGTTAGGGAATCTAAACCTGTTCAGTGTCAAGAGAAGTAAGCTCAGCTGTCGAGAGCACTGCACGACTCCCTCAGGGTCTGAGCATTATCTGCTGTTGCTAGCCGGCTCTGTCTTAATGAAAGATTAACATGGGTCAGGCCTAGGATTCCTCTGTTCAGTATCTGATCCTCAAGGTGACCAAGTGGGAGCTCTGGAAAAGTGTTTGGGTTTTTTTTTTTTCTGAGAAGCTCAGATCAAGTGTCGCTGCCTCTGGGAGCCAGGGATTCGCAGACCAGCCAACCCAGAGGACAAATTGAGAGCAGTTCAAGTTGCTAGCTGTTGCAGATGTCTCAATGCTATCTGAAGCCTGCGAATCCCACCATTTTTTGTCCCTTGCAAATTTGTAGTGATGATGTTGCTGTAGCTGGACCTTAGGCTTGCCTTCTTGGGGCATGTGAGACATTAATGTCGATGCTTCTGTGAAGACCAGGGCACTGTGGTGTTGCACGGAAAAACAACTGGCCCAGGAACACCTGGAAGCTGGTCAGTATCCTGAGAATATATGTTCTTGTTTGCCCAAGTGCCTGGCAGGACCGACTCATTAAGTCACAAAGGACTGATGTGATGATAAAGTTCCTGGATGAGTTGGTTTACATGATCATTCTCTGAATTCAGAGTTTCTTTATTTGGAAAAGTCACCTGCCATTTATAGCTTAGGGTTTGATATTTGGTAACTCTGAAAGACCTTTCTTTCCCCCCACCATGTTACACAACAGGGCACGTAGCTTTATTTTTAGAGCTCTGGGAGTTTTGTATTTAAATATATTGGTTTTGTGCAGTACTTTGAAATCTTTTATTCTAACTAAGCATGGATGATAGATAGTTAATTTTTTTCAAGGGCTATGACTGAGGCAGGAACATTGGGGGCAGTGGAGTGTCAAAGACTGATGGCAGCTGTGCCGCAAGGGAATATTGCTGTTGCAAAGGTAAAAGCTGAGTAGCGCCCAACTTTGATTCCCATTGCTTCTAAGCAAACTAAATGCTGGTGTGTGATTTCTGTGATCGCCTCCCCAGTTTCCCCTGCAGAGGCTGCATAGCCCCAAAAATGCATCCTTGAGAAGTGCTGGGGTGAAACCTCACTCTTGTTGCTCCACAGAACATCCTTCGGCTCCTTCACATGGAAAGAGCTGCTGAGGAGCGGGGTGGTTGTTGCCGGTCTGGGACCTGGGCAGTTAGAGCTGGCTAAACGGTGCGTCCCCGTGGGTCTTGCTCTGACCAGGCTGTTCAAGGTTCTTTTTTTATGGAACAAACACGTTTTCAAATTAATTTCTCAGTGCTACCCTTAAGAGCCTTTGATGAATAGCTGTGTCAGTTGGAAGTGCAGTTTATTTCCATTAGCAGGCCAAAATCCCCACGGGGAAGTCAGCTTGCGCAAAGGGGCCCTTGCGACTTTCCTCTTGATGAAATAAGTTAGCTGTGTTAGGATGAAGCAAAGGCAGCTTGCCACTCACTGCCTGGAGGCAGGACTAATCTGTAGGTGTCTATTAAATCAGAGATGAGCTAGGGAAAGTGTCCTTTTTCTCACTGTGTGATATGAAAAACCAGGAAAAAAGATCAGCTAAGGATCTCTTTATTTCTCTTCCTCACCCCACTTGTCTTCTGTGACTGCAGTCAGCTCTGGCTCTTTCCTGGGAAGGTGGAGCATGGGGCAAGGTTGAGAGCAAGTTCCTCCAGGTAGGTTACAGCTGAAGGTCAGCTCAGGCTGCGTTTTCCTCATTACTGGCCTGAGGCAGGAACACTAAGTACAGTGGAGCTAAGCTGTTACTTTTTCCTAACAAGCCTCTCTCCCCTCTGCACTCAGGTGGACAAAACTAGCATTCTGTCACAGTAGATTAGCGAGAGGACATTCTAATGAACTTTCAACCTAGGTTTTTAATTCTGACTCTGGATGTACTTGAGATGTGTTTATTCTTTCTTTTTTTCAGTTCCCACTGTGTGATGGCTCTCACACAAAGTACAATGAGGAAACCGGTGACAACGTTGGGCCTCTGATCATCAAGAGGAAGGAGGCGTAGAGCGGACAGTAGAAGCTACAAAACGACTGTCTGATAAATCCTCTGCTCACATGTAATTAGGGGGGAAAACCACAAATTCTTTGTCATGTCACTAAAGACTTTCCAGTGTAGTATGTACAGCAGGCTTCAGCATATGTATTTTCTCTGGTGCTTGTCTTGTTTTAATCACTACAATGCATAATTTACTAAATAGTCATGGTTTAAATTTCTGTCCTGTGAAGTGAGTATGAGACTAAAATGACACACAGAATGTACTTCATTCAGAAAGTAGGTATTAAATTATTTTCAAATACATGTGTACTACTCTGAGGCTATTTGGTAGAGCATGTGTTCAAAAGGTAGATCCTAAAATTGTGGAGGGGTTCTAAAATCACAGGTCTGGAGAGGCTTCTGTGTAAAAGGCAGTGGAAGGAAAGAAATCATGGTGCCAAATTGCAGCCAAACCTCTGATTATGCTGCGTTTTCTATAGTTATCAGGTTTGGCCTATTACACGACTGTTCTATCGTGTAATAAAAGAGCTAATTCAAAGTTTCTAACTATGAACAGACAACATAAAAAAGGCTTATGGCAAGATGGGGCTAAAGGGCAACTTTACTTTTCATTTTATGGCAGTAATGAAACTTGACCCGACTACCGTATGGTATCAAGAACTTACTACTGGAACTGCCGGCCTGTATTTAGAGTAGGATTAGGAAGACGGTCTCCGTGAGAGCTTTTCTTGATAGACAAGCAGAGTGATACGAAGTGCTCCAAGGGGTGGCGGGGCTGTCTTAGCTGCTAGAAAGCCTTAGTTTCACTTGCAGTCTTGAGCGGTGAAACTAACTTCCCCACACAACAGGACCCTTCTGGGACAGGAGGCTATGCTGACTCGGTCCAGAAGCTAAAATAACAACTAAACCCCTGCCCTTTGTTGTCGTCTTGCTTCGTCATTGCTCTGGCTGGTTCTGGAGGACTCTTCCCGCTGCGGAGGGAGGAGGCACACCTTTCTTACTAAGTGGCCTTAGGCTCTATGCGTCTTAAACAATTCCTGTCTCCCTGGGCTAAGCATCAGTGTGGTTTAGCTAATATTACCCAAAGAACCGGTGTGGACAAGGAAAGACTTTGGCGACAGAAACGAGGGAAGGGAAGGATGAGACAAGGAGAGCCCTTGCCCTCCTTTCACATGGCACTTGTTTGCCGAGGTCTGGCACAGTTGCATTAGTGGTTATCGCCTTGATTCCCTTAAATAAAATAGCTTTGATTTATTATCATGTGAATTACTACAAAGCAAAACCCAAAGAATGGGGTGGCAGAGGGCAGTTTTGTATTAAACCCGGTCTGTTAGCGCAATTGCAGCCTGTCTAAGATTGAGCTTTCAGTGTCCTGAGAGAGAGAGAGACTACCTCAGAGCTAGAAGAAAGGCCTTTCCCAGAAGTCGACATTTTAACCTGGACCCTTAAGGATTCTTCCAGGTGATTAGGGCAGTAGAAGTTTTATTTAATATTTTTGTAAGGGTGTGGTTGGCATCACTGGTTAAGATTGAAGAACATGCTCTGGAGATTCTCCGAGGCTGAGGTCTTAGCTGACTGGCCTGAGCTTTGGGCAGGAGGCACAAAAAGCAGAGGAAGTGGCACAGAGGTAGAGAAAGAGGGTTTGCAGGTGGAGCACTACAGTGGGCGCAGCTACTGTCCGCGAGAGACCTCTACTTGTAAGAAGTTGCAGTTAAATATATTTAGTTTCTATCTTTTCCTCCTGTCTTGACTGTAAAGGTACTTGATATTTTTTACTTGGCCGAGAACTGATGCAGATGGAAAGTTGTTTTAACCTTAAATTATCAAATACGTTGCTTTTATCCACAACAAAGTTGTTTCTGTATTATTAGAATACGTCACTGGATATTTCTGTATTTTTGTCAAATACACATTTGAGCTCGTCTTAATCTTGAGGTTGTAATGTCTGTGTTATCTCATGGGTGTGCTGTTTCTTTCGAGTGGAGAGTTACTCTGTGCGTAGTGCCATAATCATAAACATGCATCTGGATCAGGTTTTCCTTCTGAAACGTTTTTTCTGTTAGCAGCAAAGCCTGGCTGCCCTTGAAAGAATAAAAGTTCCTCGGAAACTGCATTAATGTTCTGGGAGATGAAGTCCTGAAGTTTCAGATGAGTCTCCTGAGTCATAGAACTTGTTTCCTGGCATTTGCCAGTTTGGGTGTAAGGGAAGTGGGCTCCATGGGAAGTTTTCGTTACTGGGAAGCAAAAACGCAGCACCAGAGTGTTGATACACATTCTGGTGAGTTTGTTTTGGAGAAATGTCTCATGTCTAAACGTTGTGGTTAAATCCGATTTTGTTGTACATACGCCTTTCTCTACCTAAAAGTTCCTGTTACTCAGGTATGTGAGCTGTTTGAATGTGACAATGAAGAGAGAGACTTGCATTTGAGTTAACAAACTTGCCTGCAGTCTTGATGAGCATCACAGAGAATGCTTAATTATTTTTTTTTCCTTAGTTCCAACCAGGTTGTTATGTTCTGATGGTCTGAGTGCTTTCTGAAATCTGTTTGCTGGTGCTTTCCTCAAATAAGCCCTAGAATATTAAGTGAATTGGTTAGGTGTTTGCCGAGTTTTAACCATAAAGAAATTCTTCTGAGAACATGTGATTTTCACCTCAAGTCAAAACTCCTCTGTGAAACTGTGGTACAAATCCTTCATGCTAAAGCAGAGAAGGATTCCCATCCCAAGAGTAAAAGTGTGTTTCTGTCACTTTTCTACATGTAAGCGTTCCTTAGGAAGACAAACAAATTAAAGTAGTGATTCTGTAGCAACTGAGTGTGACTCATGAAACTATCTGAATGTCGAGTATGCAAGTGCTTCTAGAAGTGACTTGAAGAGGAGATGGCTGTAAGTTTAATCTTTAATTCAAGCACCGTTGATCTCATGGGTAGTTATGGCTGGTGTAGACCAGCGTTGCAGTCACGCGCTGGTCCACTAGGAGGAAACAAACGCTGGGTAATGGATGCTCCTTGATGTGGAAAACACGGGATTTATGGTTTGTTTTCTTTTAATACACATGCATATTTATGTGTATTTCTTTTCAGCAGCATTGCTGTCTGTCTGAGCCTGGGCACCTGGAAGTGCCGCATGAACATGTTTGGGACTAAGCAGCTTTTCACGCGCTTTGGAGCTCCGAACTGTATCACCAGTTCCCTGACAGCCACCTGCGTTGCTGACCGCAGGCCCCACTAAAATTTTCACCATATCGTTGCCATTTAGACCTCGTTCTGGTGCTCTCGGGAGCCTGTGAAATTTATTTTGCATAGCTACACAGCAGTTGGATTGGGATTTTCCCTTCAGTGTAATCCAGATAGATAAAGGCTTGGAGATGTGAGTCACTGCTGTATCACAGCCACTCGCTCCAGTAACGAAAAACTGCAGGAAGGATAAGAACGTAGGCGTGGAACTAAGCATTGGCATGGCAAAGAAGCCTTCGCATCAGCTGGCTTCTCTTTAGCCATCCTGAGTGTGGAATCTCTTACTAAACTTGGCTTTTCATTTCAACTCCTGAAGCTGCGAGGCTGACAAACCCCACCTGGCAGGGCCCTGGCTGGATTAGGCAGAAGAACACGTCGCGCGGGGGCAGAGAGGGGATGCCCTGAGTTTGTCAGCGCTCAGCACCTCTCTTTCAGCTCTGTCAGAACGTTTCACGTGGACCCACTGAGAAGACCAAACACCTTGCTTGTTGCTGCTTCACTTAGAGCACACATAGTGCCCTGGTCTGGCCTGTGTGGGGGTGTTGGGTCATAGGCTGGACTTGATGATCTCAGAGGTCTTTTCCAGCCTCAGTAATTGTGATTCACGTTACACCCAGCCGCGTCAGATACCTGCTTCCCCAACTGCTTCCTGCACCCAGGCTTGTTCTGCCCTGGTTTTCCTGCATTGATGAGTGGCTTCTCTGCACCAACAGGAGAACAATTGTTTTTCAAGAGCTGATTTAAGATGGGTACCAGGGGCTGCTGCTTGGAGCTCTGTGCTGCTTGATTTCTCCTGTAGCGGTGGTGTAGCTGTGCTGTCTGAAATGTACAGCGCCTTTCTCGGGCAGGATGATTTCCAGGTTGCCTGGTGCTGAGAGGAGCTGAATAGAAACTAAATAACATTTAAAAAATAAAAAGTGTGGAGAGAAACAAGAAGGGGAAAAAGAAGAAGTAAAGTGGCAGATGGGAAGAGAGCACAGGCTAGAAAAGTTTTAACGCCGTGTAACGTTGCTGGGTGTTAGCAAAAAGGGATGAATTGAATTACAGATGTAAGAAGATTCTTCAGTGCACGGATGTTGCATACGCCTCACGTGAGTACAGAGAGATCATTTTTTTGTTATTTTTTTATCTAGCTGAAGCCTGAACCGCCTGTCCTCTCCGGTTTGACATTGCACTGCCCTTAATACGCTCCGCTCTGCATCCTTTTTGTCATGTAGGCTGCAGTTTTCGTTTGGTGTTTTTGAATGCATGATGCATTTATGCAAAAAAAAAAAAAGTGCTTCTCCTCTCTGAGAGAAGGCTGTGCAGAAAAGAGAAGCTCCCAAGCATGCCAGGAATTACAGCTTTCATGTGCAAAGCGTTCAAAATGCAGCACACTGCGAGGATCTGCTTAGTAGCTGGAATGTTTGTGCCGTTCAGTCAAGTCAGCTGGCAGCAGAAACACAGCAAAATGAATGATAAGGTCACTGACTGCGTAACTTTTCTCAAATATTTTTCTGCAGCTGGCAAATACAACCATACATGGGTAAGCTGTGGTCAAGACACACTGTCTGTTCACCGCCAGCACTCTTGCTTGAGGCTTGGGTAGCGATGGCCAGAACAGACTTTCACTTCAGTAATTATTAAATTTGTTGCTCTTTTAAAACAGTCTGATCTTGCTCTTTCTATCTCATTCTTGGCTCCAGCATTTGCACAGTTTAAATTACATTTTAAGGGTCAAAATTCTGTTGCTTTGCAGACAAAGTCTGGTCGTAGAACACTGCTGAAGAGACTTTTCTTAATGTCAGTTGGCAGCAGGTTTAGTCAGTAAATAGGTGTTTGATTCTCCTGCAGGTGGAGGTGATGTAAGTAGCCTCTAGGAAAAGACAAAGAGGCGTTTTAAATAAACCTCCTGGCTTACCAATCACCT